TTTCGGGTTTCCTGTGTGAACAAGAATTTATCTGGAAACCAGTCGGGATTCCTATGTGAATCAGTGCTACGTCATTTTGCACTAGTGCACTCTCAAGCGATAGTCCGCTGTCTAAGAGCCATTGGGGGACTCTGGGCTCGTGATCGACAGTCTTGTGTCAAACATTTCGATGGGTCCCCTCCCACAAGAACAAAGAAGTTTATATTCCAAGTAGTAAATGTGGGTTTCCTGTGGTACAACTTTCAAAATGGCGGCCAAAGCGATCGTATTGCCATCTACCGGTAAAATACTCCAGTGAATACTCCATATTCTTTTCGTTTATATGATTTTATTTGAAGTATCGCTTTCAACTACATCTTTTTTTTTGAAAAATCTCACTAGTTTCCGGAAACTAGTTGAACTAGTCTAAATCCGCCCCTGCCTTCATTATCTTTTTCTTATTCAGCCTTAGTTGAGTATCTGGGTCTTTATCAGTCGGCTCTCTGGGAGAAAGACGGACGTGAAAAGAAAAGGGGAGTGGCTTCGTTTTCCCCCTACCCCCATGCCCTTCGAAAGCCTGATACTCAGTTTATATTTAGCCAAATGCACTATTTTCGCAATCAATAATTTTTTAGCCATTTTTGTACACAATCGCAAGACATAAAAACTAAACAAAGCGAATTCTTTAAGATATTCATCAACTCAATAAACATTTACTAGGGGCCTTTCGCTATCCACAGTACCTGAAGTGCAGAAACCCATCCCTGAAGCTCCTGTTCGGTCATGGCCTGGAACACTCTCTCACTGGTCGTTGAAATAAGCTGAAAACAAAAGTTTCTGTCTACGTCTCCAGCGTCACAGATTTTCACGGTACATAAGATAAGGTTTTCTAAGGTTGATGGTTGGGACTGCTCTTGTCCTTGGGCCAATAAACAACCATTTTTCTTATCCACAATGAAATACTAAAAGAGAAAAATATCAAAGTTCTTAGAAGTCTAGCTGCTTTCTTCCTATCGATCTCGAGCAGGGCGATATGGCTTTTTGGAAAAGGTTGTAGTAGAAAACGAGGAATGCAAGACCGCAAGTTGTTGTGGGTATAATGATTAAATGGAAATTAATATTCACCCATCTTCGTGATGTCCTTCTACTTTCTCTCAATTCGGATGTTGCTTTTTTGGTTTTCACCTCAATGCCCCTCAAAGCCCCTCAATGTCTTCAATTTCTCTTTTCTCTCCTATCTTTCAACTTGATCATCCGTTTCCTCTTTAATCAGTCTTTTCTCCCTTTCTATATTTACTTTTTTCTCTTTCATGCTTTCAACTCTATATCTTTTACTATTGTAACGCATTTGTATTACATTTTTTTTAAGAGTTCCTCTCGCTTCCATTGTACAAGTAAACAGCATAAAAAAACAGTAATCGTCATTAAAAATGTTATAAAGTTCTCAATTCAAAGAGAATTAATTACTAACCAGGAGTGGCCATTTACTCTTTGGAAACCCCTTCTGTCGTATTCTAAGATAACCTGATTTACAATTTTTATACTCGTTCACTGGTGGTGATGGTTTGGCCAAACTCTTTAGACTAGCCAGAGGTGCAGGTAATAGACTATACAAAACAATAAAAAGTCAGAACCAAGAGACAGTTGAAGTAAACGATGGAAAACGTACTCGGGAATACGAGAAAAGTCTTGTGATGCCGGCTCACAAGTGCCTAAACAACTTGTTTCAAAGACTCGAGTCAATTTGAATGCAAAGTGCAATGGGACCCCGGCCTTGTGGTCACTGAAGAACTTTAAGAACGTTTTGCTAATACAAAGACGCATATGATATACAATATGACAGCCAATCTTATCAAGAAAGTACGGTCAATAAATTATATGGACCTCAAAGTACATGTCCATTTAATGCTACGTTATTGGCAAGAAGTTCCTCCCCTCCATGCAAAAGCTTACAGTACCAACGAGATACTGCCTGTCACATTTCATTTTATCAAGTTAATTTGCCAACGTATCCATTGCTGTCAAATTCTTACTTCTCTGAAAGAGTTTCTTTTTCATCGGCTGTAGGACTAATGAGATCTTGAGGTACAATATCGATGACCTTCTCCTGGTTTTCTTCTGAAAATACGAAATACAGTCATGATAGGTATTATGTACGTCATTTCCAACTATTGAAATGAAGAAGTCTGGATATGATTATTTAGAAAATCGAAGAAGACGAAATACAACAGCAAGAAGAAAATGTAGAAGACGAAAGAGGAGGCAACAGGGAATACGAACGGAATAAGGGGTGTAGAAAGAGAAGAGCAGCCGCAGGCTAAGAATAAGTCTTATCACGAGAGGGATACAAAAAGGAAAATGAAGAAGAATTCATGCTGCTTACCTTTTTCCAATGCAGCGTCTTTCTTTGCAGTATGAGTACTTTTGTCGTTAGCCTTTGTAGACTTTTTCTCTGGCGTGTTTTGCAATGATGATGGTCTATCTGGTCGATCTTCATCCAACCTCTCTCTGGATGACGACTTTTGAGGGTCGATAAATTCCCATTCTTGATCCTGCCACAATTGTGCCAAATATTTTACTTTTTATAACTTTATATAATTGATATAATATCATATCAATTTACACATAATTAAAGCACAATAATTTTTTTTTGTATGATAATGACAGCAGAATGCAGGTAAAGTATGCACGTATTGCCTGCCGTAAAGAAACAAAACAAAGATAATTTAATGAATGTTCAAGCATTCAAGTAAGAAAGCGAAATTTGCAAAAAATCCCAGAGAACGTCTTATTTTCCGTTTGACTACTGACTATTTTTCATCGACTACTTGAATTCTGTTGTCTTGTGGTACAACACTTACAGCAGAAGAAACTCCTCTGGCAGATTTGCGATTCCCTTAAAATAAATAATTGATTAAAAATTAGATGAATAACATAATCAAACTTCATACTTGCATCTCATACCTGTGAGGCCGGTGGATTGAAATAAATCGCCAATTTTGTTCAGAAGCTTGCCAGCTTGTGTGTTCATATTAACAGCACTAAGTGGTCTGCAAGCAAAATATAGGGCTGATTTACACGGTACGATTGCCGCGTGCAAGTTAGTAGTACACGCTAAACATCAACAACTGTTTTTTTTTCCCATTTTTTATCTCATGAATCACGGCCTTTAGAGGTTATTGAGGCTGGTAAAGTATATAGCCATGACTAGAGCAATGGCTGTACCCTATTCTAACTCCATGTAGGATATCTTCTTTTACGCCTTCCATAGGTTAGGACAACTACCACAACACAATCTGTAAGAATACAAACACAATGAATCTAGCTTAGTCTTACGTTTGAGGTTCTCCAAATGCCTGGGCATCTCTTTGCTGCTGCACTGCAACTTCTCGTTCCAAAGTGTGCTGAGTTTCTAATTCAGTCTTTAGTAATGTCTTTTAGAAACAAAAAAATGTTAGTGATAAGATGCAATATAGAACTAGAGCAAAAATTTTTGTAGAGCAATTTTATAACCTCTATAGATGCTTGTTTTTCTTGTAATTCTTGGAACAATTCATTCATGTAGGGTTCCACATCTTTTAATGTCTGTAGAAAATTTTTTTATCACATCAACATACATGTAGCTGTCATTTGTTCAGAATTCATATAATCCATACAAGATTGCATTTTATGTTTCAGCTCCATTCCTTGTATAATGGCAGGCCAAAACAATTGGTCAAAGTAGAGACCCAATATTTGGGATTTGGTGGTGGTTACAGACATACTCTCCAACCCCATAAAATCTCAGCCTGGACAGTAAACAGACTTGGCTTCTTATAGTTAAAGCAGAGCCATGAGGCACTCAGGTCCATCAGATGACACTTTTACTCAAAGTAAGGGGCAAAGTCTCTGATTTTGATCTCTATGGCGGTTGGCAACTGACTTACTAAACAACCTTCCACCCCAAAGTGGGTCCACCTATTGGCTAATTAATTACTTTGGCCTTGTTGCTAGTGGCAACATTTACCTGGTATCCAAAATTGAAGAATGAAAACTGTGCAAGCATATGCTCAAGAACCTTTTGCAATACTATAACCTATGGATAAGAAGAGATTAAAATTAAAGGTATCAAGCCTCTACTATCCCAAAACATCTGATTCATGACTTGTATAATTGTCTGTCCCTTTTACCTTTTTAAGAGTGTGAATCTCCTTCAAAGTAGTAACATATTTTAATAACACTTTCTGGTAATGTTGTCTTGTATGAAACACTGTATGGGCCAGCTTGTCCAGTAAGCCAGGCTTGAATATAAAAATTCCAATTAAAAAAATAAAGCAATTCAGTCCAACCATATTTTTGAGTGTAATTAGAGACACATTGAGGATACTGATATTAGAGCCCTATTGGTCTTTCCCCATTCTTGTAACCAGATCGTTCTCAATTCAAAACAGAAGATTGAAGGCTCTGGTTTTAGACAATGAGTACAGTAATATAGTTATTAATACAAAATAGATTCTGGGTCTTCTGGTATTGCCTCCAAGGTCGCAGCATTACATTCTCCATTTGGGAACCTGAGAAGGATGTGGGCATAAGAATGGTCTCTTCAAAGTGTATTTTATAAATACTGGMGCATGGTTCTGGGACAAAATATACAAATGAATACACAAGTTTTTCCATCAATTAAATAAAGATTCTACAATCTCCCTTTTCAATCAACGTTTTATGTTCGAGTAGTTCCTACTACTCTGCGTTTTATCTCACTTTTAGAATATTGCCATTAATTTACTGCCTGATAATGTGGCTGCAGATCTCTGTACTCGTCTCTCTTGCGCATTGAGTGAGACCGGCAAGAATGGGCTTCAACAGAATAAGGTTTTTACCTCTTGAATGTTGTTGACATGAGGACAGCTTGAGAACTTCTCCCAAGCAAGGTGCATGACTTCTCTTGCTTTTATCATTTCAGCATTAAGTTCCTAGAAAAAGTTGACAAATAGTAACCTTTTCTATATTTTGTACATTTATAATATACATGTCATTTACTTTTGCTTTGAGACAGTCAGCACTGATTGGAAAAAGGTTGAGAAAGAGGTTGAGGAAAAAATGGCCAAGCAATAGATAAGTCTTTCAAATAAGGGAAAATCTTTAGAAACTAAAAATAGAGCTGCTTTGATTAAGGAGCAATTAAAATGTAAGTTCCAATCGATCCTGCATTACTGTCGGCTTTGCAGATAATAGTTACCATGTTTGGGCTTCCTGTGGTAATAGGACAATGACTGTACTCTGATAACATTTATAACTATCTTTAAAATCTTTTTTGCCATTTAAAATGTATTTTCAGTGCCCTATTTTTTGAAAGCTTCTTATAAGGTTCTCAAACTCGCGTGCATGTGAGCATTGAAAATTAACTATAAATAAGAAGTGACAACGTCACCCTTTCAAGATCACCAAGGTTGCTGAAAGAGTTTATTCAGAAATGTGACATACTTTTGCTCTTTCATATTCTTGACTCAATTTGACCAATGGCTCCCACATTAAAAGATGGGTTTGATTTAATAGCATATCACGGTAACATTCAATTCTTTGAAGAACATCAGAGAACTGAAAAAAAGTTAATGAATCAGAAATCTAAAAAAAGAGACTGATTAATTCAAATGAAAGTTCAAGTTAGCATCTTTTTACTAAACAAACCAACAAACAAAGTATCAATTCAAGCAAAAGGAGTCAAAAGAACTTTTGACTGGCTACTTTGCCTTTTTATGATGAAAATAAATCATTCTGTACAATATTCTAACCTTTGCTATTGGCTCGCATATCTTTGGATCATCTTGAAAAACCTTGAGAACATTGTTCAATGAATCACTCAATTTAAGCCCACACTGTTGATGTCTTGAGCCAGAATCATGATATGCCTCAACATCACTTGCAAGTTTAGATAAAACTGGAGAAACCTTGAAAAGGAATTATAATTTTCCTTTGAGATTAATAAATTATGAAAGCACGACTACAACACATGCCAGTTGAATTTATAATGAAAGACATAATGACAGCATGTAAAATGGAAACAGCTTGTAGTTTTTAGGAATGTTTTGGCCTTTCTGAATTTTATAAAGAGAGTGTGCCTAATAACGAACTCAAGCAGTTTGAAGCAATCAAAAAAAAAAAAAACAAAAAAACAAATAAAACAACAAGCAAACAAAAAAACAAAAACAGAATGATATAAAGAGAAGGAAGGGCATATTTAACTGAAATCAGTATAGCTTCTGGGAGCATATTCAGACAAAAAAAAATAGTGGCAACAGAATGTGTCTTTTATTTTAGCAAATTTCAAAGAATTGTCACTCGGTGAGTATTCATGACAAGAAAATAGGATCAAACATCAAAAATAACACTATAATTAGAATATGGCCTTTCACATGATGTGGTTTAACTTTCATTTTCCAAGTTTCCCCTGAAATTACTAAAAAGCCAAAAGCATGACAGTTTCTCATGATGATTAATGTAAATTTTGAATTTTTTAAAATCAAACAGTAGCATTGATACTTACACTTCAGCCCATTTGTCTAATGCCTAGTCATTAACAATATTATTTAAGAATTATAATCAAGACTTATTACAAATATTTTGCATACTTGTTTAACTTTCTTAACAATTTACTGGGAATATGATATGCTTTTTCCTAGATTTTTATTTATTCCTTAATTTTTACATTTTAGAGTGAATTTTCACAAATTAGCAAAAAAAGTGATACATTAAAGAAAACAACAAGACACACCATTTTGAAAAAAAAGAAGAACAAATCGAATTTCCATCCATTTTTCACGTGAATTTCATTGTTCGAGCATCAAAGGGATTTAAGAATTTTATACAAAGCACTTAATTGAATTTGAGGCGGGATTTTATTTTTACTGTTCTAGATTTTTTAGGTATGTGCAAACGAACTTCCTTTTAGCTAGTAGAAAGAGAAGGGAAATAGCTTATTTATCATGAAAGTCTGCAACACTGTCCCTTGTCAAATCTTCATGTTACATGCCCTCTTGTTGAGGTCTAGACGACCTTGATGTTGAATCAACGACGCCTACAAGCCAGTATCACACTTATAAAATCTTATGGCACTTACCTCTCCAGCTTTATTACTCCAGTATTTCAGAGACTGTTGAAATGCTGGACAGTCGTTCAAAACGTCTTCATATCTCGGAAGATCAGGAATCACCATTTCGCTATCATAAAATGTCATTTTCGGCTTTGTAGCTCGGTGTTTTAGACCATTATTTTGACTAGATGTGCGTAGTATTCTTCACTCTAAAATTCTGAATGTTTTGAGGGTTATCGGTGACAAGGAAGTGTCAATTATCAAGCAGTTTTTATCCAATTTGTTTTGTACTATCCACAATTTTCCCACTTGCTTTGTAGCCTGGCCTGATTACAAATTATATACAGTGGCCTGGTGCTGGCGCGCCTTGATTGAATTTTTTCTTGTCTCGTTAAAAAAAATGTCTTGGGAATAATTGTTTTAATTGGTAAGATTTTTCTTGATATATATATTACGAAGAAAAATTTCTAAATTTAAAAAAAGAAATTTCATAAGATGATTACAGTCGAGCGAAAAAAATATAAAGGAAAGATGTATAAATGAAAATTACTGTAAAAACTCAAGGTTTTGATAGATCATTATTGTTACACAAATAATGTGATGAGAGAAAGAATATAATATGCTTCTCTTTTCATAACCGGTCCTCCTGTGCGTTCTTTGTGTAAGCCTCGTTTCGGCGTCTAACAGCAATGGCGGATGTCACCCCCTGCGAAGGGGAATGATGGTCATGGGCCGCATTGCAAGCATTTTGCCAACACGACCGAACAAATCCGCCATAACCGCCAACTCTCTACTACACGAGAGAACATGGATATCAAGGCGTTTTCTCGTCGAAGACATCGGTCAGGATAACCGAGCTTTGCCTCGGTAAGTGAACTTCATCTCGAACACCGTTCTTCGTGAAAATGGCTGGGGTTTTCTTGTCTTTTTGGAGTTATTTCCGAGGCAAATTCGTTGATTTCTGTGGTCTGTCTGCCTTGGCTTTGGTTGTCCTTTGTTCGGGAGTTCAAAGAAATTGTCTTTGTAACAGATCGGGGGTTGTTTGTGGTGTTGTTTTGTAGTTTTAATGAGTTCCTTTAGTGTATTGATGGTACGAAAGAAAACTTCTGATCGTTGTGAAACCTTTTACTTTGGACAGACAACGAAAAGAAAGTACAAGCACACCAGGTCTTTCGTAACCGATGGATAACGTAATGTTTTAACACGAGTTGCCTGTCTGTTATCTGTTGTCCTCAAAGTCTTTCTTTGTCATTTTCAGGTTTTTAGTAAGGCCATTCCTTTGGCAATGGCATCCCCTAGCACATCGCCAGCACAGCCTTTACACGTACAACATCTAGAAAAGGCCTTACGTCTTGAGCCGTTCTTTGGGTTTGTTGAAGGTGTCTTCTCTGATCAATTTTTAGGGAATTTAAGGTAAGGCCTATGTGCATTGTCAAGTACTGATATATTGGTTATCAAGGTAATCCTTGGGTGTGTACTATGGGGTGCAAAAATGGGTACAACTAACATGTGATCAGTGGGTACATGTGCAATATTAAGTAAATTTGAGATTATAAAAATTCAAGCTTCTTTGTAAAATTGATGCACAAATTTAAAAAAAATAAAATATAACAAAAAAATAGAGGATATAACATAAGATTTTGAACACGAGAAGATATATATTTGTATCTCAAAGCAACCATGTAATATTATGTTTATCATATAATTACATATGAAAGCAATTTTGTCATAAAAAACCTTATTTCTTACTTCTCTTGAATGTGTTATTTTAACTTTTGAAAAGAAGAAAAAAAAAACTAGTGAAAGTAGCCAGACAGCTGGATCTTGTTGCTGTCAGTAGGAGCTTAGAACTCTTAGCAACCATCATGTGCCATTGCCTCATATCCCTCAATTAACATCACTTAGTTGTCAAGGTTCTCATAATTATACGGAACTATTTGTTATTTGAGAATTATACATTTACTAACAAATGTAAATGGTTGATTAAAACCTACAAATGTATGTTATTTACAAAATGCTAGACATTGGAAGTTACAGCTTAAACTGCATTCAAGGACTATATTATTTTACATACAGAATCTTTATATCATATCACTTTTAAATATACATATACAAAGCATAGTCGATCTTGTTATACTGTTTGTGATTAGAAAGAAAAGTGCATGATTTATATACATGTATTCAAGTTTTATGGATTTTTTAAAAAGTCTTCTTAACAGGGTAAAAAAAAACAAAAAAAACCATCAAAAAAACATAAATTTGTTTATTGAAACATCATACTGTTAATATTTACTAGTGATTCAGACAACAGTGGCTTGAGTGACCTTGAAAGAGATTTTACTCCAAAAGGAAAAGGTAGTTTGTTAAATGGAGACAATGGAGCCTTAGCAACCAATGGGTTTTTGCAGCCAGAAGGTAAGTGTAGAATCCTCTTCAGAAGAAGTAATACTGTACATGTGTACAGTACATGTACATGTACATGCTATTATTAAAACAGTTAGTGAATAGTTCATCCTTTATCATATGGTTTAGCTGTCTCTTTTAACATCTATTACCAGACTAGGGCAGCTGTAAATTTTGTTCCTTAGGGACTGTTCATTAATTATGCCCGAGAAGGGACAGATCCAGGAATTTTCTAGAGGGGGGGAATTTATTTTCCAAATAATATTAAACACCAGCATTAAGTTTATATTTTTAATTATATTGTTTTGAGTTTCTATATTTCAACTAGATACATCAACAGGATTGAAAACGAAAAATTAAATTTTTATCAAATTTTTTTTAGGAAAGGGGATTTTTTTTTTATTATCATAATTTTTTTTTCATTGGGGATGGGGGGGGGGATATTTCCCGTTTTCCCCTCCCCTGGATCCGCCCCTGCTAAGGGGGGGCTAGAGGAAAAGTAGGGGGCCTTTGAAGAATAGACACACAATGAAGTGTGGACTTTAATGACTTTAATGACTGTGGTGAAGACAACTGTATCACATTTTTATTGTTAGAACTCTTATTTCCAAATATCCTCTTTCTCAGTAACTGTACAGTATTTATGTTAATTCAGTATATTGACAATAATAAAATATGGATTTGATAAAGACTTAAAGTTTTTTTTTAGATTAAGATTTTTCTCTGTCTCATGTGGAATTGACCATATGATCTTTACTAGTTTTTAAACTGACTTACTCTTAAGTTCTGAATAATCATAAAGAGCATAATAATAGTATAGAGTGGAAAAATCCAAATTAACCAATAATAGTATAGGGTGGAATGATAGAATAGATTGGAAAAAAACAAAATTTCAAGCTATTTTTTTGCAAAATTGCCGACTTGCCCCCAGTCTCCATCGCAATCAAATCCGCTGACCAGATGATTTGCGGTCTTAGTTTGATGTTCGCTCGTGTTTTTGTTTTCATTTTGGAGACAAACTGTTCATCTTTTGGCGACTTTTTCAGAACTTTTTTTCAGATTTTGTTAATAACTAATTAAGGTAAGAGCAGAGAAAAAAACCCTGAAAATTAATAAACATACAGTCCCCGAATAAGGCCGTATAGAGTGGAGTATTTTGCCAGAATACTTAAGCCCCGCCTACACAAGCAATTTTAATGTGGCAATTTTTATGTGACAACTTTTAATTGCTCGTGTAGATGAGCAAAATTGGCCAATTTTTATGTGACAACTGTAGTTGCTGGAAAGCTGGAATGCTAGTTTTTATGTGACAACTAAAAATTGTCACATATTGAAAATTATCGTGTGGTTGAGCGTCACATAAAATGTGGCAATTATTTTGACGTTACACTAAATCCCAGTCTCAACATTTTGCACACCAACCAAGATGGCCACGCCGATAGTAAGCAGAACGACCGGATCGGCAGAGAGAATGGTATTATATTGTTGTTGTAAGAGCTAAAACCAACCAACTTTGCTTTGTTTATTGGCATCTCCGCTGTGCAAAATCACACTTGGCACAAATCTTCAACAATTATTTGCTGCTGTCCACACAGACAAATAAAAATTGCCACATATAGTTGTCACATAAAAATTGCTCGTGTAGACAGGGCTTTAATAGTAAAAGTCAATTAACCTTACAAGTACACGTACATCTGCAATTTTTTCACAGAGCTGAAGATAGACAAGACAAGACTTTACAATTTTTCAAAAATAAAGAAAGAGAGAAGATGGCTGATGGTAAGATCATTGTTTTATAGGGTCATAGTCAGCCAGCATTCAATGTGGTCATGTTTTAGATTTCTCATACAGAATGGAACATGTACACTGTATGGAACATGAGGTGACATTTGCAATCCAGATTCATCTGTCGGTTTTAAGATCGAATCTTGCAATATCTCCATTCATAGATTTTTATCTCCAAACTTGTATGTACATTAAGGTTGACATTGCACCTTGATGGTTAAGTCAGGACTGATCTATTGTAAAATTTTTGGCTAAACACATGTCTACTCTGATAGGACGTGTTGTTGAGTGACAGCTCAGAGAGTTCTGATGAAGATGAGCCGCTGGGTGAAGAAGATTTGCAGCAAATGCTTTGGTTTCACAAACAACAGAAGAAAGCACAACAAAGATACTATCAAGATGGAGATGTATGTAAAATGTCCACAAGCAAACACTATTTAAACTACCATTTTGCAATACTCAATCAAAACTCTGAAATTCCTTCCTCTGAACAGTTCATTAGATGTAGTTTTTGAGAAAGGAGTCTTGCTGAACATGCAGTGTGAAGCTTTGGCATCTTTGCTACAAAGCATGATGAGATTTGTAGTACCCAGATACAATTTTCATGTCTGATAAAACAGTCCTTGTGAGCAAGTCTTTCTTTGCAAATTAAAGTAGAAGTAGTTTCGTTGTTTCCAAATAAATATAAGAATTGCTTTTGGGTGATTTTTAGGAGCTATGAAAAGAGGGGGGATTAACCACTAGCTGCCATCTCTGTTGAATATAATGACATCACTACGCTTTTCCTAATATCAAGTGTTTTCAAATGAGTAATACATGTAGTTTTATTGTAAATTCAATTGTTCATTTTTTTATAACCTTTGACTTAATGTTGTTTTGTTATGTTGTAGCTGTCAAGATATCAACATTACAGTACAAGTCTCTTGTATAGCCAAGACAAGTACCATGACCTACAAAAACAAACATCGCAGACAAAGAAGGTCAAGAAGAAGATGAAAGATGGTTAGTTTGGTTTGATTCTGTTATTTCATAACTACCTTGCTCTCTGCAAGTACATTGTATATATTCATTGATAATGTTTGCTAATTACTGTATGCTGTCCAATGATCTACTGTATCTTCTATCTTTGTAAATGTATATCAATTTATGTATAAGAAACGTAGGCAATTGGCTGATTTTGTACCTTGAGAGACTGGATACAAGTTACTTAGTAGACATTTTCACTGTTAAAACCAAAGCAGGCATCATGTTGGCTGCAGACTTCGAATGAACGAGTGTGCCAAGTCAAGTCAAAATTATGACTTTGTTCACTAACCAAAGTTATTTTGCTGCTGCCCGATTCTGCCTTGCTTTGGTGCAAAACCACAGACTTCTCACGCAACTTGTTTTCTAACTGTGAAAAGTGCTATTGAAATATGATGACATAAAAAAGACCCACAATGAAAGAAAGAACAACTACAAACATAGCAAAATATGGTGTTAATGACATAAATATGAAATCAGCCTACTGTAACATGTATGTTCAAGCCTACAATAGGTCATTGCTGTCTTGTTCCTGTAGGGAAAGTCAAACTTGTCAAAGTTAAAAAGGAGAAAGTCAAAGTCAAGAAAAGAAAGAAATCAGAAGATCAGGTTGGTAAAATTATTTAGAATTATTAATTATCCAAGATTAAAATTAAACAAAATCCAAGTAAATAACATAGCTTAGAATATTATCAACTTCATAAACTTTTAGTAATAGTCATTTATAAATTACCGTAAGCAGATAGATGATCAAAGGAAACTAACACTTGAAGAGAGAGTCTACAAGAAAGTTTTGATAAGACGCAAAGAAGCAGATGCCAAAAGGAGGAAGATATGGGCCATAATTTGCCGAAAAGAAATCCCAAGAGTAAGGAAAAATATGTCTTACTAAACAAGTTTTTTTCATTTTCATTTTTTCTTTTTTTTTCATTTCGTCATTTTTTTTTTTCATTTTTTTTCATTTTCATGTAATTACCATAAATAACAATGAATTTCTTTCCAAAATTAAATGTGTACAGTCTGTAATTATGATATTAAGTCAAGTATACATGTATAATCTGACACTCTGTACATTTAATTTACATTTAAAGTCCATTTTATCATTCCAGGCACAAAGACAAAAAGCCTCTGCTCGAAATAACATGCTTAGCAATGCCAAGAAGGTATAGCTGTACGTGTATCAGTGCTCATGTGTTTACAAATGAGACAAGTTTACGTATACAATAATTTATTAGGATTTCCTCAATGTCTTCTAAAAATCAAATTTGAAGAACCTTTAGTTATCATTAAATTACTGCACCAATAGTTTGTATTTTTATCAACCAAGAACATTCCAGAAAAAAAATATATAAAAAAATATATCAGTAGAATGAAATAGAACAAAACACCAACTTGAAGCTATAAAAACTCTGTTTATTGGACGTTTCGGCACTTCGGCCTTCTTTAGCAAACTGAAAAAAATATATAAAAATATATAAAAATATATAAAATATAAAAAATATATCTTTATAAATTATGAGATTCTGGTAAAGTGTGGTGGTGGAATCAAAAGAACCAGGAATCACAGTGGATATTGTATAATTTCAATCTTTTTCACACTTGTTTGTTTTGGTCTAGTTGGCTCAGTTGTGCCAGAAAGAAAGAAGAAGAGAAGCTCAGAGATCACAGAGAATATCTCAGCAGACTGTACCAAGAGCTCGAAGATTATCTAGAGAGGTATTGATTAGAAAGTTTCAATAATTGAAAATAGTTGAAATAAAATACACAAATGTACACTACTGTGTAGAGTGAAGATGCATGATGGACAGGTTTGGTGTCAGAGAGATATGAGACCCACAATGTACTTTTATATAAGTTAAGGGTTAAAGGTTTGTGTATGTGTAACCAGGTACAAGTTACATTTGACTTGTAGAGCTGCTCATAAAACACATCACAAAATCAAACTTAGATTTTCCTATTTCCTAAAGTACAGCACTGCTGTAGATAGTTTTGTTTACTATTATTTTCGTGCTTCAGATGCTGGCGTATTGGAAGAAGTATGAAAAGGTAGAGAAAGAACACAGGAAAAGAGCTGAGAAAGAAGCTATGGAGCAAAGAAAGATGGATGATGAGCTTAGAGAGGTATGCAATGAATTTAATGCTAGCCAAAACTCTATTAGTGGGAAACACCAGGTGACTGCTTTAATAACACAAGTTGGCTGTTTAATCAAGGTTAAGCGAGGTTTACCTGACAGATAAAATGTACATGTGTACTGTTTGAGAACAAAATGTCAGAAAATTAATATCAGCCAAGGTAATGGAGATTGATGGCTAAATACTTAGCTGTTAATAGAAGCTCAACTTTTGTTTTAAAACAAGTGTTTGATCAGACACTTACTGTAAATTGAAACTGAATTTTTTGAATCTTTTCACAGGCAAGAAGACAACAAAGAAAGCTTAATTTCCTAATAACACAGACTGAGTTGTATGCACATTTTATGAGCAAAAAACTGAAAAGTAAGAGTCAGGTCTTAAACACTGTACTTTGTATCTAATCTAGTATTGTGCTCAATTTTATCATCAAGAAAACTGCTTCAATTTGCAAGCTGCCAATTGAAAAAAACAAACGGCATATTGTTATGTCTAGGCTCCTGCTATTGATAAAATTTAAGGAAATAAACTGAACACTTGAATATTACATTACATGAGATATACAAGCTACATGTACATGTAGTAATGTTGCTGGGTCTTTTTTTAGATTCAAAGAACACCAACTCTGAGGCTGTCCAAAGTATTCTTAAAAAGCTTGATGAGCCTTCATCTAGCCACACTGTGAAAACTGTCCAGGGAGGGGTTGTGTTTGACATGGAAAACCTTGATAATTATGGTAAGGGAACACATACACAGTAAGCTGAAATAATGTATTTTTAATAATGGACTGTTTTGTTGACAAGGAAGGTTTAATTTTTGATGCTAATTGTTGCATATCTATTGTTCAAACGGTGAAAGAGACTTTGGTAAAAAAATGCTGGGACAGCAATAGAATACAAATTTGATTATAAAATTATTTTCTTTATTCAGATGCCAAGGCCATGAAAATGGAAGCTCTTGCCAATGCAGAAAATGCTATGAAAGAACAAGAAGCCAGGGTACACATGAACAATGACTTTTTTATTGTCAGGCATGTCGGAATTATGCACGAAAAAAATCAAAATTATGCGGAATTTTTTCCCCATATTATGCGGAGAAAAGGGTGAATTATGCGGAAAATTATGCGGGATGACATCATCACAGGAACGTAAACTTTGGGAAATTTTACATATATTTAGGTTATTGTGTTTGTTTTTCATGCAAAACTCCGTTTTTATCTTAGTTACGAAGTACAGAAGGCAGTACCAACAGAAGGAAAGATCTTTTTAGACTTTTTCGCTTACATCTCACTTGTATCATACGCCATATTGGAATTTGTCACGTGATCTAGTAAGGCACAGGGTGACCAGTAATGCTAGTGCCCAGACTCTTTTCTGATGAAATTTTGAATGCCTGGTACATTTGTGAAGCCCACGAAAACAAAACTATATTGATCGGAAAATTATAAGCATGTTTGGGAGCGTTTTTTGATCAAAAAAACAGTCAATGGACCACAAAAAACATTAGTAGAAGGCAAGTCATTTTAAAAAATGGTATAACATGGGAAAAAAAAACACAAATTATGCGGGATTATGCGCGATTTGGTAAATTATGCAGAAAGGGGGCAATTATGCGCGTCCGCATCCGCGCATGATTCCGACATGCCTGTATTGTTGACTAGCACTTCCATACTAACTGTTAGCCTGTTTTGTTSTTTTTAGACTCAAGCGTTTGATGCTAGCATATCAGCACTGGATCATGCTGGCAACAAGAAAGTTGCCCTCAGCCAAGAATCTTGTAAGTTTGTCTTTAAGTTAATAAATGAATTATTTGCTGTGTTGTGATCTGACTCATGACGCTGCAAACACGAATTACATTTTCATATTCTATAATTTGCACCAGCATACTAATTACAAATTACCTTTTTTTCTGTTTGACAGTTGATGAAAACTTTAGTCTTGCCAATCCCAACTTAACCATTGACCACCCTCAACCTGATCTGTTCCAAGGAATTTTAAAAACCTACCAACTTAAGGTAATGTGTAGGGGATTACACCAATTCATCATTTTATTGTTTAATGATCTACACGTAAATGTGTTTTTTTTTTCAGGGAATGAATTGGCTGATTACACTTTATGAACAAGTATGTTGCTTCTGTCTACCTGTATGCAACTTTTCGATTAATGACATTAGCTAAACTCATTGCAAATCATCTGTGTTTTTGAGGAAAAAAATACAATACTGATATTCAAAGTAGTGTCACAAAGATTATTTAATAATTACTAAATATAATTTCTGATTATTGCATATAATATGTGATTTTGCAGGGTATAAATGGAATTCTAGCTGATGAAATGGGACTTGGCAAGACCGTGCAGTCTATTGCATTTCTCTCCTATTTGGCAGAGGTGAATACTCTTTATTAAAAAGCAATGTCAATATTTTTCTATGAATTATACCTGTTATATTGTTTTGCTTTATTGTCATGTGCATTTGCTATTTTTCTTGACAAAATATACCATATGCCATATACTTTGCCTCGTTCCCATACAGAACGTTTCAGACGGTCGTTTATTTACTCTATGGCAAACCAAGCATAATGGTGTACCTTAAAAACTGTTAAAACCATTGCATCCTAGCATAATTTTAAGATTTTCTGACATTTTATTACTATTTTTATATATTTTATCCATGTTTTAATATCATTTGTAAATATCACGCAATTCAGTCTTTTGACTGCAATGTTGATTTATTAATAAAACTATCTATCTATCTATCTAAAATAGCTATATGCACATGATGGCATCATGGATGTTATATTTCTTAGGCACATCATATATGGGGCCCATTTCTGGTTGTTGCACCAGCCTCAACCTTACATAATTGGCAACAAGAAGTGGCTCGTTTTATCCCTAATTTCAAGGTATTGTTATATTTTTATTTTTATTTTAATTTATTAATCAAGTTGTTCATTTATATCAACATTTGTACATCAGGTTCTTCCTTATTGGGGAAACCAAAGTGATAGAAAGTCATTGAGAAAATTCTGGAGTCAGGTACATTTACTAAAAACTGTACATTAATTTTATATTTTATATGACGTGTTGTTTAACATTGTTACAGTCTGCCCTGCTCTGCACTGGTCATTATTTCTTTGTATTTCTTTATTTAGTCATAATTATCTGCAGGTGTCTTTTTGAAATACCATAGTGATGTTTTAAAGTGAAAAGTTGACTACAATCATTGCCAAAATACCTTGGACMATAGATTTGTCTCCAGCCTAGTATTTTCCTCCTTTATTCTTTCACAGTTTTCCCCCTTAGCCCCCTTTCATCAATGTTGGGTCTTGTTTTGGATGCTT